GGAGGGAGGGAAATGCACGTGACTATGGTGGTGGCACAGGGGTGATTTGGTGATGGGAAACCCGTGGGGATTACAATGGAGATGAAAAAAAAATGTGCAAAATGATGTAAAAATAAACTTTTTAATAATAAAAAAAATACATAAGGTTGAAAAAAAAAAAAAAGATTATCTGGTCTAGCTTCCTAGTTTTAGGGCAGTAAGATATTACCTTCATTCTTCAGATGTGGCAAGCAAGGTTCACATATTTGTTACTCATTTACCAGATAATTTGTGGTTGCATTGTATATCTAACATTCTTCCTTCCTTCTAAGTGCCAGAGATGTACAGGTGAAAAAGAAAAAGAAAGTCCCAAACTCAATGGTATTTCCATAGTAATGGGAGGAAAAAACCAACTATGCAAGTTTTTTTTTTTAATTGCAGTAATATTGGTTTATTAGCTGTTTGTGATTTAGAGGTTCAGGGTCTCCCCTTCAGGTGTTGCTACCACACCATACCCACCCCCAACAGTCCACCACCATTTTCCAAGTGCTCCCTCCCCACTTTCTCTCTCTTTCCACTCTCCCTCTGCTAGCATCAGTTCCACAATCAGATTTTTAAGGTTTGTTCTTGGTTTATCTCTTTGTTTTGTTTCTCTATATTCCACATAAAAGTGATAACATTTGGTACTTGTCCTAAATTATTTTGCTTAGCATAATCTCCTCTAGTTCTATACATGCTGTTTTCACAAATGACGAGGATATAGATCTTTTTTATAATTTAGTAGTACTGCTGTGTGTATGGATGTGTGTGTGTGAGAGAGTGAGAGAGAGATACCGTAACTTTCTGAATCACTCATCTATTTTGGGGCACTTAGAATATTTCTGTGTCTTAGCTACTGTAAACAGTGCTACAATAAACACTGGAATGCCTCTTTCCTTTCAAATTAATGCCTTTGTGTCCTTTGGGTAGATTCCTAGGAGTACAATCCCTGTTATATGGTAGATCCATCTTAATATTTTGAAAAGCCTCCAGACTGTTTCCACAGGGTCCCGCAGTCTATATTTCCACAAACGGTCTAAGAGGGTTGCTTTTTCTCCACAGATCTGGTTTTGTAGATATAGGCCATGCTCATGGGTCTAAGATGGTACCTAATTGTGATTTTGAATTGCATTTCCATGACAGTAAGTGATGATGAGCATTTTTTTTCATGTGACTGTTGCCATGTGAATGTCTTCTTTGTAGAAGTGCCTATTTAGTTACTCTGCCCATTTTTTGATTGGGTTATGCGGTTCCTTTTTGTTGAGTTATATGACCTCTTTGTAGTTCTTTCATATTAGTCCCAGATGAAATGTATTTTATTATACAGAGATATACTTACTATCTAATACATTATGTGTTAAGTGTATACATAGATAAAAACACATCTACACATGTAAACTTCAGAGCAATTACCTAAACTCTGACTATAAATACATGCGAGAGGGAGAAACTCTATAACCCAGTTTTCTACTTCTTTGTTAACGGATCTTTTCACTATGCCATTTCATGAGCACAATTTTCTTTTACTACTTAGCTATGAAAGATCAATAGGAATGTGATTAAGATTTCCTCTTATAAGATGCAAATGCATTGCCCTCAGCAGGAAACAGAACTATAGTTAGTAATTTAAAATTCATTGCTTTCCCTGTAAATTATTAGGTAAGGAAGTATGTCAAAGAAGTAAAAATTTTAAGAGTATTAAATCAATGAGCAATGAAAATATTTTTTAAAAATACCTGACATTAAAGAAATGAGTCTCTGTCTGGCCTCATTTGAAGCTCTTGGTGTGCGAATTCGATCAATCCATTGATATTCTGGGTCTTCATTGACCACAAGTTCTTCTACAAATCCATGAATTATTACAGCTCTATAGCATTTTGGAACAGATGTTGCTGGCAAAAAAAAAAAAAAAAATATGTCTATTATATTTCTATTCATCACAAGGTCAAATTCAATTTTAGAAGATGTTCAACTGAGTTCTTACCTCTTGATATATAATACAAAACAACTTTTACTGTGGTAATCCAATGTGATTATAATAATAATTCTGATCAGTCTTCTAAGCTCTGTTATTACTTGCTTATTATAAGAAATATCCATTTTATTTTATGATACCTCTCACCTTTGTCATGTAAGCATAGTATAAAAAATTGCATTTTTTGTAGGATTTATTTAAGCATACAAGAACTGGGGTCAAGGCAAGAGGTATGACAGGGTGAGAGGATTCACCAGAGACAGATTGAGAGCAGAACAGGCAGATTTATCAAATACACTAAGGATGGGAGCAGCGGGTGAGACAAGAGAAATCTACTGTGCCCTGTGGTTTCATGCTGTAGTAGCTGGCTGCATAGCTTGATAGAGCTGAGACTTTAACCCCTGCACCAACAGGGAGGCCCCACAACAAACTACTCTTACTTTAAATAGCATTCCGTACAAAGTATTAAAAATCAAAATTAAAATCATCTAGCTGATTATTATATAAATAGGTAAAAAAGCAGAAAATGAATACAAAAACTTTATTCAGTGACCTGTAAGTTCTTCTGTACACCATATACGATAGCCCCCAAAATCAAACCTTTAGCTTTCTAGCACCATCTGCAGAGTCACTACTAAAGCCCTATAGTCTCTAATGAACCCATGTTCATCTGGCATTTCAGTAGTCATTGTGCTACTTATTTAACATACCTTAATATGTAGAACAACTGTCACTAGATCTAAGTAAAATCTAGTAGGATACAAAAGTGGGGAACCTGAGAACATCTACACCAATCTTACCTCCTGAAATGAACATTTGTATCTTAAAGCTAACTCACCTATGTAGGACTTTTCAAAGCTCTTACTCCAGACTGGCTGTGAAAAGCCCAGATCTGCCGAGCTCTAATGCCTATTTCCTGGCACTCAAAATGCTGAGTACCTATAAAAGTATATGTAATTTTGGATAGGACCACAGTGCTTGGTACAGTGGTTACTCCAACATTACAGTGTCTTATACTAGAATAGAAACCAGTGTATTTTTTTTTGACAGTTCTACAGACTTTCATACAACTTGCCCAAACTTGTGAAAGAAAAATTTAAAAGGCAGCCAAATCTTAATCTATGGAAGAAGTAAGAAAAATACATGAATATTATTTTAGAGTTTTAGTTTTATTTTAGAGTCGAGAAGGCTGTATTTAGTAATGCTTTCCAAGGCCACTGGAGAGTACTCTGCAAGATACAGTTGTCCACCTACCACAAATGCTATATGCAGGGTAGCCTGGCTTTAGGTGGCCTATTCAAATTAAACCTAAATATGCCACACATTTTGCCTTATCAAGCTCGTTCCCATGAAGTAAATATTAGAGGCTGGTAATTGTTTCCAATTGTTGTGACAATGATTTTGACAGTGCAACAGTTTTACCTTCTCCCTCTATTCTGCTGCTGAGTATGGACAACAAACTGACATCAATGTAGCATAGGCTAGGGGCTTCCCTGGTGGCCTAACTTTCATCACTATGGCTTAAGTTTGATCCCTGGCCAGGGAGCTAACACACATATGGTGCAACAGACCTCTCCTGTCTCGCCCACTGCTCCCCTTAGCAGTGTATTTCAGTAAATCTGATGTTTTTTTTTTTTTTTTAAAGATTTATTTATTTGTACATACAGAACTGGGGTACAGGCCAGAGGCTCAGGGGTGGTGAGAGGCTTCACCAGAGACGGAGTGGGGAACAGAACAGGCAGATCCGATGAAGTACACTGCTGAGGGGAGCAGCGGGCGGGTCAGGAGAGGTCTGCCACACCATGTGGTCTCCTCCTGGGTAGGCGGGAATGAACTCATGCGGAAGTGGCTTTAGCTTCTCAGTGCAGTGCTTTAACCCGCTGCGCCACCAGGGAGGGCCCAAATCTGATGTTTTGATCCCTACTTTGTCTCTGGTGAATCCTCTCACCCCTCTGCCTGTCTGGCCTATACCCCAGCCCTTCTATGCAAAAAAAAAAAAAAAAAAAAAAATTAATAAAAAAAAGGTTCTGTTCTGAAAACTATGAATGAACCTTCTATAACCACAGTGCTTTATATCATGTTACACATGAATAGTTTCAGAGGCACTGATTTCTTTGCATCATGTGACCTAGATCAACTGTGGTCTCTCCCTACTTACCACACAATGAATAGGTTTAAGTTTATTCCCTTAATTGTTTTGTTTTGAGTTTGGACTTAAGTAAGTGCCATCACACTTTGCATTCCTACACCACAGTCATACAAATCTAATTTCTCCAAGGATGACTTGATTTGTAACATTGCAGTAAAAATGTTCAACCTTCATTTTCAATCTATTTTCTAGTCATTTTCACGTATTTCAGAGTTGTATTCTTATGCAGTGCTTTAGCAATCAATTCTCCACTTTCAAATCTAGTATCCCTAAGCAAAATATTTAAATAAATGAAATTAAGTCCTTTCATTAATATATTGACTCTTCTTCAAAATTCTGGGAAGAACTCCAAAATGTTCACCTGTTACTCTTTCTACTGGCTTTTAGTGACTGTTACCAGCAATGTTTAATCCTTCCAGAGGTTGAAGGCTGAAAGAGGAGCAGTAGTAGCAACATCCTCCTAAGGTAGCATACTCACTTTCACCCCAGGGGTTCAGACAAGATGACAAGAAGTAACCCAGTAGCCTGTCTTCTACTAGATTTTTTCATGTTTTCAAACAAAAATTATATCATATATTAATACTTGTAGATCATATAAACAGTCTCCAGAACTACAGTAACTATTTCTGATTATTCAATAATTTTCTAACATCAAAACCAAAGTATAAAAGATCTTCCATTAGCCTTCTGAAATATTAATTTGATTTCCCATCATTAACAATTATTAAATTCCTTGCTAAATGTATAATAAAATATATTTACTTACTGCAAAAGAATTTGACTCCACATGATGACTGCCTAAATCGATTTAAATCATTGAAGAGGTCTACTTTGACTACTACATTGATTTCCCCACGGATACCTATAATTTCAAAAGGAAAGTCAAACTTCTACATTAAAAATAAAATACAATTAAATAGTCTATCAAGTAAATGCCAATTAATGTTTATTAAATAATACAGTAATCAATGCTAACTTTCTTTCCTAATTATTTTCACACTATTTTTTTTATTTCAATTTCTGAAAAACATATTGCATAAAGAAAGAATACTTTTAGTTTTTACCACTATTTCAATCATGACTGACTAAACAGGTATCATATTTGAAGTGATGATGACATTTACTGAGCACTGAAAATTGTTCTAAATGCTTTACCTGCAGCACCTCATAGTGTTCATACCAACTCAGTGAGGTTATTGCTGTAGATCTATCATCCTCATTTTGTGGAAGAATTAAAATTTGATAATTTGCAGTGTCACTAACTAGTAAGTAAAAGAGCCAGGATTAAAAGTCATACCTTAAGATTCCAAAGTAAATGCTCTTAACAAAGAATATTATTTAAAACAAAAGAAGTTTTCTCTTTTTCAGTCAATATAAGTTAAATAAAGTAAAAAAATTTTCAAGAGTAAGGGTTTTTAAGAACATACCATGATAAATAAAAATTACCTCGTCCTTAACTCCAAACACCAAAAATGATTTGACTGTCTTAACTTGAAGTCCAATTCACATTTATAAAGAAAGATTTTCCAGAAAGAGTGACCAACTCATTTATTTACTCATTGAACTAAAAGATTTAAGTTTCTAACAAAGGTCTATAAACATATTAAACTAATTATAAACAATATTTAATATAATATGTATGGAAAATTGATTCATACAATTATAGTTTATAATCCAAGTCCAGATTAACTCTCCAGGGGCATTTTTTTATTAGTAAGTAATAACTGACTCAATTTTATTTCCTGATTACAAAGATATACATATATAGTGTAGAAAATATAGGCACAAGGAGGAAAAAGATTACAAATCAGAAATGAAACTACCAAAAGAAAATTATTTTATTACGTATTGTATGAATTTATTCAATTACGTCACAAATAAGTAATTCTATTTTCTAAACAAATGTGGGACATTCGACAATATTTTACAACCTGAATTTTGCAGTTTATATTATGTACATTCCCTTACTCCACTCAATTCTAAAAACATGCATTTTATTCTGCTGTGTAATTCATAATCTATATAAATTCTAACTCATTTACACAAATCCAATATTCCAATTTGTTTTGATATCTTAAATATTAGTAAATAAAAATAAAATGTAAACATTCTCACAATAAATGTATAACATGCAAGAAAATACTTTTATTTTCTTATAGTCAAGTACTATAGTGTAGTTGCCAGGTCAGATATGTAAAATAAGTAGAAAGAGGCCAAGACCTGGCCGGTTCTTTAAGGGTCGATTTGCCATCTAAAGAGACAGCATCTATTCAGTTCTTAAAGTTACTGAGTAGAGGACCCATTTCCAATCTTAAGCATCATGGAAGACATCAGACTTTTTACTTATTTATCATATTATAACTTAAAATTGAGAATTAAAAAAGGTATTCACCTACTACTTCATTTATCTAATACTATTATTACTATTAAGCAATCACAATCCAGTTAAATATAATAGAAGATATCCAGTTCACGTGTTGAGCTTAAAGAAATATTCTCATCTCTGCTCTACCTCTAGTGTAACATCATACATCAAAAAACCTCAACAGCACTCCATTGAACACTGGTGTACGCTGGTAAGAAACTGAGGATAAAATGGTGAATGATGTACAAGTATTGTGCTGATGACAGTTCTCACCTTACTTAACAAAACCTATAAAGTTTATCAGGGAATCTTTAGGTGTCCCCATACCACACTGTCAGAACTCTGCTTTGGGGAACAAAAAGTCCTTAAAGAATTGTTAAGAAGAAAAATATCAGTGTTGTCTACTCTAAAATATGTTCTATGAACAAAATACCTCCATCAGATGATTTTTAAATAATGCATTTACTTCACATTTTATAAATTTAGCCAGCGTTATTTCAAACTCTGTTCAGGAAATTAACAAGCAGACCAATAATACTTTACTATCTCATGTCCATAAAAAAGAAGACATGTTTTAAAGACATAAAATATCAAATTTTATTTAACACAAAAATCTTTAAGGAAAAGTGAAAAGACACTGTGATTTATTTTCATAGAACATACTCCTTACCATGTATGGTGTCATAAATTGGGAACCACCCTGAGATGACCGTGGCAGCTTCACTGTAGAGTAAGGGGTCGATGTCGATGTACACTTTGCCAATGGCATCGTTTGCACTGTAAGTATCATGATCAAGAACTGTGATCTGGAGCGGTTCATCCTGTAAGTCTTCATCATCTACCTAAAAGTATACCTTAAAATTACTTCTTATCAGAAAGGTAGAGAAATAACACAGGAATGTTTTAACTCCTTTTTTGACAAAAAATGCTAAATTTCTGAAGACATACAGCTTACCTCTGAGCACAAAGGTAGAACGATCACACCAAAAGGTTTTACTTCCTTTCCTACACATTATCTTGTGTTCATTTAATTCCTTCTATGGCATCCAACAAAAAAACTTAAGGAATGTCACAATAGAGTCACCGATTGTCTACAAAGAGTAAGATATAAGGGTACACTGCCTCCATAATGTCTAAGACAAATGCAGAGAATAAAACTGAAAGCAAGACTAACATTATTTGTAAGAAAAAGGAATTTATGTTCATTAATGAACTAAGTTCACAAAATAAATGTCTAGCCATTCTCCAACTTTTATTTACTCTTTATCAAGTACTTATCATATGCCTAGCACTATGCCAAAGAGCAGAATTCCCTGGTGGATGAAATGGACTGAATGTCTGTGTCTGCCTCAAGCTGCTGAAGCCTTAGTCCCCATTATGATGGTATTTGGTGGTGGGGATATTATAATTACATATTGAAGATACAGTCTTCATTAGGAATTTGTATCCTTATAAGATCACTTAAGGAAATAGCAAGGTAAGTCATCCACTGACCAGAAAGAGGGTCCTTGCCAGAACCCAACCAAGGAGGTAGGTATTCCCTGCTCAGATTTCCCAGCCTTCTGTATTTCCCAGAGAATACAGTGCCATTGGTTAAGTCATTCAATATGTAGTGCTCTCTTATAGGAGCCTGAACTGAGAGGACATGCAAAAAAAAGATTACTCCCTCATGAAAGACACATTCACTACTTTGGCAGCTCTTCTCTAGCTACCACACCATCCTCCAATTTGCCAGTAGTTCTCACCAAATTCAACGGAACAAAATGTTATAGACAATAGTAAGACGAGAAAAGAATACAAAGAAGAGAGTTTTATTTTCTGTAGTTAAAACAGCACACATTTTGAATGCAGCCTATGTATGTCTGCCATTAGAACATACAATACTGTTAATTAAGACTGAATTTGTGTTCAACTGTTCTCCTTATCTTCCTTATATATATCTGCTTTGACCAATAATATCTCCATAATTGTTATGCTTGCGTTAATTTTTTTTAATCCTAGTGACCCTTTTATCACTATTAAGTTTATTTTTTATCTTACAGCACTATGTGAGGTTTACAACACTACATGGGGTTAAATTTTTAAAACTTAATTACAAAACATTCTACCTTTCCCCATCACCTATTTAATTTCTTGTGGATCTTAGGCTAATAGTCCAGCTGCTGAAGATTATTTTAAAAAATCAAAATACAGGCCCTCCCTAGTGGCGCAGCGGGTTAAAGCACAGCACTGAGAATCTAAAGCCGCTGCCGCATGAGTTCGATCCCCGCCTGCCCCGGAGGTGACCACATGGCGTGGCAGACCTCTCCTGGCCCGCCCGCTGCTCCCCTCAGCAGTGTACTTCGTGGATCTGCCTGTTCTGCACCCCACTCTGTCTCTGGTGAATCCTCTCACCCTCCGCATCTCTGACCTGTACCCCAGTTCTGTACTAATAAATAAATCTTTAAAAAAAAAAAATCAAAATACATGAGTTATTGTTGTTATCATTGATATAATATAAAAAGATGATTTGTTTTTAAGGGCCCTTCCCTATAACAGAGATATAATTAAAAATTTATTATGGCCCTCCCTGGTGGCGCAGCGGGTTAAAGCACAGCACTGAGAAGCTAAAGCCATTTCTGCATGAGTTTGATTCCCGCCTGCCCCGGAGGTGACCACATGGTGCGGCAGACCTCTCCTGACCCGCCCGCTGCTCCCCTCAGCAGTGTACTTCATTGATCTGCCTGTTCTGCTCCCCACTCTGTCTCTGGTGAAGCCTCTCGCCGCCCCTGAGCCTCTGGCCTGTACCCCAGTTCTGTATGCATAAATAAATAAATCTTTAAAAAAAAAATTTATGAATGAAATTAAACACGGTATCTAGAAATTGCCTTAAAATATCTCGGCATCCTCCCCCCACTAAAAAATGGGAGTTGAAGGTATGTTTGTTTTGTTGTTTTTGTTTTTTTATGCATACTGAGTTGGGGTACAGGCCAGAGGTGCAGGTGAGAGGATTCACCAGAGTGGGGAGCAGAACTGTCAGATCCAGGAAGTACACTGCTGAGGGGAGCAGCGGGCGGTCAGGAGACATCTGCCCCGCCATGTGGTCATCTCCGGGGTGGGCGGGGTTCGAACTCTTGCTGAAGTGGCTTTAGCTCTTAGTGCTGTGCTTTAACCAGCTGTGCCACCAGGGAGGGCCCAAAGGTATGTTATTTTAACTATAGGAAATAAAAATTTCTGTTTTGAGTGCAGGAAATAAAATTTTTTGTTTTGTATTCTGTTCTAATCTTACTACCCTTTGTAGCATTGTATTCACTTGAACAGAACCACTGTATTTGGTGAGCTCTACCAGCAAACTGGGGGACGGTGTGGTACCTAGGGACCAGCTGTCAAAGTTGTGACACCTGTGTCTTTCATAAGGAAATAATCTTTGCATGTACTCTCAGATCAGGCTCCTAAAGAAACAAGGATGGCAGAATGTAGGCCTCTTTGGCTACAGGTAAAGTTAAGTGAAGGCCAAGTAATTCAACATATTAATCTATAATGTACATGCTTGAAAATTTCCATAATGAAACATTAAAACAATCATCTTGAATTCTTAGCCATCCTGAATCATGACATCCAATCCATTCTCTCTAACACTACTACTACTACAATATCTATAATTTTTTTCAAAAAAGGACAAATATATTGTTTTTATAATTATCTGAACAAATTGAGTATTTTGTCATTTCAAGAATTACTAGTAATGTACCATCCATCCATTTCCATTAAGAAATAGCCATTTTCACGGAGATTACAATTGAAATGAAAAAAAATGTACAAAATGATGTAAAAGTAAATTATCATATTATAAAAAAAATAGCCATTTTCTTAAAATTAATGTCCTATCATGAAAATTACTAACATATAAAGTTCATCTCCCTCCTACATTTCCAATAACAATGTTGAACAAGACTGCTGTTTTCAAGCATTTTTTTTTAAGATTTATTTATTTATGCATGCAGAATTAGGTACAGGCCAGAGATGCAGGGGCAGTGAGAGGATTCACATTTTTAGACTACATAAAAATGAAAACACCATAAAGCAAAATTATACAAGTATTTAAGTATTTTGCTAGGCTAATGAAGATGTAGTTTATAATTCTAATTCCACCTGAAATAATTTAAACAAATTATTCTACTTTTTCTGACTCATGTTCCATATTTTTACCTTACTGATGCAGTTTAAATGACACAGATTTAATGCATGAATGACAGTGGGTCTTTTAAAATACACAACAATATTTTGGAAACAACTAAAAGAAAATCCATACATTTATACAAAAGAAAAGATGGAATGAAAATGTCACAAGCAAAAAAAAAAGCAACTCAACACAAAAGAAAAATGATGTTAGAGAATTCTCATTTCCTGATTTCAAAACTTACTATAAAGGTATAATATAAAAAGTATGGTAATGTCATAAAACCCACAAATATAGATTAATGGAACAGAACTTAAGAATCCAGAAATCAAACCATTCCTCTATCCATTGACTTTTTTTTTAATTATTTTTTTTTAAAGATTTATTTATTCGTACAGAACTGGGGTACAGGCCAGAGATGCGGAGAGTGAGAAGATTCACCAGAGACAGAGTGGGGAGCAGAACAGGCCGACTGATGAAGTATACTGCTGAGGGGAGCAGCGGGCGGGCCAGGAGAGGTCTGTGTCACCATGTGGATCTCCTCCAGGGCAGGTGGGGATCGAACTCATGCAGAAGTTGCTTAAGCTTCTCAGTGCAGTGCTTTAACCCGCTGCGCCACCAGTGAGGGCCCCCCATTGACTTCGTTTTTAGTGTTTGATTTCTTTTCCCAGGTGTAGTCCCTGTGAAATTCCCACCACTAATTCACCATTGCCATGGTCCCTGTACTCTTCCTACCCTTGTTTTGATCCCTTTTCCTTCCCCCACCCCTGCAGAATGTCTCTGTTTTATAGTTGTCTGGGTTTTTTTGTTTTGTTTTGTGTTGTCTTTTTTGTTGTTGTTATCATATGCTGCCAACTTTTGACAAGAATGCCAAGACCATTCAATAGGGAAAGAATAGTCCCTTCAATAAATGGTATGAACCAAAAGATATCCATATGTAAAAGAAAAAAGTTAAAGCCTTAACCTCATAGTACTATGAAAATTAATGCAAAATGAATCAGTAAGCCTACCTATAAGAGCAAACCATAAAACTTTAAGAAGGAGACATAGGGATAAACTGTTATCATGTCAGCTTTGGCAATGGATTCTCTGATTGACAACAAAACCATTTGTAACAAAAGAAAAACACATAAATTAAACTTTAGCAAGTTTTAAAGTATGGTACATAAATGGAACTATTAAAAGAGTGAAAAAAAGTATTTGCTAAATATATACCCAACAAAAGTTTACTATTCAGAATATAAAAAGAAATTTTACAACTCAGTAACAAAAAAATAAACAATTAAACTTAAAAATGGGCGAAGGCCTTGAACAGACAATTTTCAAGAAAAGATATACATATATCCAATAAGTACATGAAAAGATTCTCAACACTATTACTCATTAGAGAAACACAAATCAAAACCGGTTAAGATACAACTGCACATATACATTCTTTAAGTTCATCACCAAGTCCTGTGATGTCTATCCCTATAGTACTGTCTCTAAGTATTAACCATTGGAGGTTAAACTAGAAGGAGAGAGTTCAAAGGACAAGGAAGGGTCCTCAGTCATAAGAAGCAATGCCACTCCAATCACCAAAAAATGCATATTAAAATTATGATATATGCATCACTTCAGACCTAGTAGGATGACTACAATCTTTTTTTTTTAAGTTAAATAATGCAGAAAAATGAAGAAAAACTGAAATCCTCATCCATACTGGTGAGAGTATATAAAAAGGGACAGCAATGATGAAACACAATGTAATAATTCCTCAAAAAACTAAAAGAGAACTTAACATATGACGTAGTGACTTCACTTTTGGGGAAATAAAACAAACCAAAGACAAGGATTTAAGTAGATAGTGTACATAAATGTTCAGTGAAGCACTATTCATAACCAAAAGGTAGAAACAACCTAAGAGCTCATGAGCAAATAGATAAGTGGACGACAAAATGTGTCATAAAGATAACAGTGTATTATTATTCAGGAATAAAAGGCATAAAGTCTGATAAATGCTACAACATGGATGAAACTTGAAAACATGATGCTCAGTGGGAGAAGCCAGAAACAGCAAGACAGACACTGAGTGATTCCACTTGCATGATGTATCTTACACAGGTAAATGCAAAGAGATGAATAACAGATCAGTGGCTGGACAGAAAATAGGAGATTGAATGAATACAGTTACTGTTGAGACTGATGGAAAAGTTTTGGAAGTAGTGGTTATGGTTACCCAACTTTGTGAATAATGAATGTTTCTTAACTATATACCTACTAATGGTTAAAATACAGCAATATCTGGCCCTCCCAGGTAGCACAACTGGTTGGGATGCAGCACTGCAAGCGAGTCTCAACAACCTCAGTGGGAATTCAATCTCCGCCCTGCAAGTTACCCACATGGTGCAGCAGACCTTGCCTGTCTCACCAGCTGCTCCCCTCAGCAATGTACTTCGTTGATCTGACTGTTATGCTACTCACTCTGTCTCTAATGAAGCCTCTCAGTGCCCCTGCACCTCTGTCCTGTACCCTAATTCTGTATGCATAAATAACTCTTTAAAAAAAAAATCTGTAACATTCTTTTTACCACAATTAAAGTTTTTTAACCTTTACATCATTCTTACATTATATCACATAAATATGATTTTTGGTATATCCCAAAATCCAGAGGAAATTACTATAAGTAATGATTCTATTTTTGAAGGATTCTATTTTTTTATGTTTCCAAATTCATTTACTCTATTTTCTTAATTGTAATCTACTTTTCTTAAAACTCAATATTCCTATTTAAGCAATATTCCTATTTAAGGGGTATTTTTATGGTAATAAGTAAACTACTCCTTCTGGAAGGAAAAGACTATTCAAAAAAAAAAAAACCACAAATGTTAACATTTAAAAACTTACCTCAAATTTAAACCATTCTGAGTTCCACTGAGGGTTGAGGGACTTGAGGTACACATCTGTTTTAAAGGTAGTATTACCAAATTTCACCTAGAAACAAATAAATTATTTGAATACAAATATCAAAAAAAATGGGGTAAATAAATTTTAATTTCAACCAAGAAATGGGAGGATAATTATGGGGGGAGGCGGAGTAATAGGCAACTATCCCCTGAGGCAAAAGAGAAAAAACATGAATGGATCCAGATCGGTCAAAGACCAAACCTGGAACAAGCAATTGCCCCTGCTCTGCCTGATCAGCTCCTGAAGGAAGTTAGAAATATAGACCATTATTATGTAGGTACAGAGGAAGGACTCAGGATGGCCTTCACTAAGTATGACCCCACACAACAGTCTTGAGGGAAGAAGCTAGCAAAATCACAAGGTAAATAAAAAAGCCAACTGATTCAATTCTCCTCCTACCATCTCAGCAAGAGTCCAGAACTATAGCCCGTTATTATGAGAATGGGCTATTATTTAGTAGTAAAAGCCTTATATTTATAACTTCTCCCTACAGGTTATTTTTTAATCCCTATCTGCACATACATAGTAACCAGTAATAAACTATTACAACTAAAAGCTTTAAGCTTCTAGCTTCAAGGACCATGAAAAGGCTTGAATAGGAGACTATCTTACTTCATAGCCAATTTTGGCAGGCAATTAAGTTACATGGATCCAAAAAATATGGAGAAGGAAATGAATGAGGCACAAACAAGCTAAATCTCTGGGACTTACTTTCAACAAGGAATGGAAATTATGAAACCTCAGACTAGACTTGAGAAAAACAGGCAGGTACTTTCTAGGTTGCCTCACCTTTTCTCATTTTGATATCTTCAAGTCCTTCCTAATTCTATCAGTTATCACTATTAAATATCTTTTCTAATCTCAAAAAAAAAAATCACTAAAAGTTACCCCCTTCTGCTGATCCCAGCTCCAAGCTCAATACACTGTAGACACAATCATGATAAATACTGAATCACCTTCCCTTTTTGACCTACAGCCCTGCTTTTGTTATTATAAGACTTGCTAATATTATTATTCAACCAGTGTGGGAACTTTTTGAAGAATAAAAATATCCCAAACTAAAACTATTTTAATATTTTTCTGGTTATTTTACTATTCACCTTGAATTATAAGACATGGTACCACTATTCCTAGGAAGTTTGGTTAGACAATAAAAATGGTTTAAAAAATTACATGAAAATAATAAAATGAATGATAAAGTCAAAAATAAACATGTATTTGCCAAATATGCCACTCAAAGCTATTTTATTCAATATCTAGTGAAAAGAACAGCATCCCATAGGCAAAGAACACAAATAGACAATGTGAAGAAATGGAAATATAGCTGTCTTTTAAATCTAGTAAATCTAGTAATGAAATCTAATTTCATTCATACTAAAATAAATGTAAAATAAACATTTTTAATAAGTTGGCAAAGATGAAGTCTGAAGACAGTGTTGGTAATGCATCTTCCCAATTTGTTGGCAGGAGTATGGAGCAGAATGATCTCTATGGAGTGCAGCCTTCTATGAACATCGAGATGCCTAGGCCTTGGAAGTTCATACAGAGATATGCAATGGCATATATAAGCAACATTACAGAAGAAAGCGCAAAATTGGAAACAACCTAGATACCCAATGATTTGGAACTGGTTAAGTGAGCATAGTAACGCCACATGTTGCAATTCAAAATAAATGAATGAAGCAGTGGTACAGAACAATGTCAAAGATGTGTTTTTCTACTGCACAATAGTGACTATGGTATTCTTTGGGGAGAAAAAAATGGCAAAATGTTATTAGTCATATAATATATGCCTTTATATGCATAGATCATTTCTAGAAGGATATACAAGAAATGTTAAGAATGTCTTACTAGAAAGAAAGGAGGTAAGAGTAAGGCTGATTCATTTCATGAAACCTTTTGATTTTTGAACCCATGTACAGATATTACTTATTTTTAAATGCATTATTTTAAATCCAAAAGCTAAAGTTAAATTCAGATGGCAATAACTATTTTGACTCAACTTATAGAACTCTAGATCCACTTTCAGACATTTATTATAAAAAAGTACTTGTACATAAGGCCCCTCCCCCAAAACTACACGAAAGTCTAAACAGCTATCCAACAGGACAGTTGTTTACTTAGTAAATAAAAGGCATCCCTACTAAAAAATGGAGTGGATGATAGGGACTGGCATGGAAAATGTCAATATACAAATAACTGAAAATAAAACCAAGTAGTGGAATATTATAAAAATCAAGGGATTGTGATACATATTTGTTTTTAAAATATGAAATGTAAAAAGTCTCTGTGTTTGTTTTTTAAGAAGGGTATTGAGGAATATATGAACACAAGCCAAAGAATGCAGCAATTATATCTGGCCGGGGACTGATGGGGTGTGGGGAATACACTTCAGCATGGTGAGAAAAGAGGCTTTCAAGTATTCCTTCTGAGTCATACAAATCCTTTGGAATAGGAACTGTTTCATGTATGTTCTTGTATTACACTTGAGTCTCTTTTTTTAATTTTAATAATCACTTACAAAATGAAACTTAATAAGGGAAAACAAACCTGGAAAGAACAGATATTACTATTCAGTTAATAATTTAATTTTATTACATCTCAACAGTGAAGGAGATATTATTTAGTTTGCCGATAAATTGAATAATATGAAAGCAAAATGTTGTTAGCATCTATGAAACCATTCAAAAGTCAAATGAAATGAAGGGTTTTGTTGCAACTGCTAAAAATGACATTATCTTTTTAAGTCAGGAGTTCAGACTCCTCTTCAGCTGTGTCCCACTATACTACAGTGCTCTCTCCTATGCTTTTCATTTCTTTTTTGGTCAGCTGTCCACTCTAGATACATAAGGTCAGCTAAAGTACAATAAACAAAGACATAGACCAAAAACAAGATTAGAAAAAGGGTACAGTGTATTTTGCCAACACTGTGATGATTCCCTTCTACTAAAGAATCACAGTTCATTTGGTCTTATTTAATTCCAAGGAGATTTTATTGCTCAGCAATTAAATGAATGCCTTACAACTTTGTTAAAGAACATCAGGGATTTTAATGAGATTCCCTATAAAGTAAAAGCATTCTCTTCCCCACTCATTAGTTAAATTACCTTGAGAAAGTTATTTAACCTGTTATTTAAAGGCTGCTTCCTCCGTAGTACATGGGATAATGCATGTAGAGACCTAGCAAAATATTTGCCATATAAAAAATACTCATTAAGTATTAATTTCTTTTCCTTTCCCTGCTCCCACAAAGAACGATAATGCAGTTTACCCCAGTTTGTAGTTTGTAACCTGCAAATTAATAGTGGGAAGTATTTCCATGAACATGTCCCTTTTACAGAACTCCACCTCATTCTTCCTAACAATTCCTATGAAAATTGTCATCTTTATCATAGAGGATTATGGGTGTTTAGTTGATGGGTGTGAGATAAAAACACGTATCTGAATAGGTGTGAATCACCAACATTACCTCAATTAAAAAAAAGAGAGAGAAGTCACTTTTAGATACTTCTTGATATTCCTAAAGTCCTCAGATCACTTACTAGAAATTCCTTCACCCAATGAAGTCAGGATCAGTTAACCAACTAATTTAGATAAATCACAGAATTATTAAAAATAATACAAATGGGGCCTCCCTGGTGGTGCAGGGTTAAAGTCTCAATGCTAACAAACTGTCACCAGCTACTGAAGCAGTGTTTTTCGGTAGATCTCATATTCTGCAATCCACTCTGTTTCTGGTCAGTCCTTTCACCACCCCCACTTTTGGCCTACACCCCAGTTCTTATATGCATAATTAAAAAAAATCTTAAAAAAATACAAATGGTAAACAGTTTAAGATAAAACATACAAGCTCATTCCTTAATGTAAGTCTTAAGTCTCTCCTTTGAGTAAGAGTCCATTATATAGACTTCTGCAGTTGTTTGTGTTCTTTTTCCTGCATAAACCACACCCACTACATATTATTCTATGATTTCCACTTTGGGTTTATTGGGCGGTAGATATAAAATAGTTGCAAAAAATGTGAACATAGCATCCTAGATTCATCCAATCTTTTCTCCATCTAATTAAGAGTAAATCTTTGTAATTAATATATAATTCTTTAAAAATTATTATCAACATAATTTTCAAACTATGTGTAAACATAGTTTTCTACATAGTACAAACATAATTTTCAACAATGTAGATAGGATTTAAATCAATTACTCTAAAAAATAGACTTAGTATCAACAGATTTAAAAAAGCACAATGACCTCTTGGTAAAATATATCAGCCAACTGATGGCAGAAGCAGGCACAGGCTCAGAATAGGCTCGGTGAGAACAAGCTGATGTGGAAGATTCAAACAGCCGTTACAGGAGGCATGCAGAACTCTATTCCTCTTTTTCCTTTTTACCAAGTTTGTCCTATTTCAGCTGAAAAATGCTCCTTTTTCCTTTCTGCCTATGGAAATTTTACTACCCTTCAAGCCCAACACTAAGATTTACCAGAACGAGCCCAGCATTCATTATCTCTCTCCTAGAGCTTATACAGTAGTGACAGCCTACATCACGTAACTGGGCCCTTTATTAGACTCTAATCCCTTATTATCCCCCTTTTCCTGCATTAATCTTTCCCTTTCTGCTGGATTATTCCTATTAACACACAAATAGGTTCTGGTATCTTCTAAGTTATTTTTCTAAGTAGTAATAGCTCCATTCTTCCCAAATACCACACTATTTCTCCTCTCCTCATGCTAGCCATATTTCTTCAAAGATGTCATTCCTGCTTCACCTCTCGTGCACTTTCACTACTTCATTTCACAACAGAATGGGCTTCCCTCCTTATCACATCTCTTGTCAGGATCACTAACAACCTCCAAGTTGTCCAATCCATGTATTTCTCTATCTTTTTATTGAACCTCTCAGTGCCACTTGACAGATGAGGGCTTTCTCTTTCTAGAAACCTCTGCTTTCCAACGCATTACTTTCCTGATTTTTCTCCCCATTCACTGGCTAACAATCTCAGTTCCCTTACCCTAGTATGCCTTCTCGAACAGATTCCTTAGTGCTGAGTTTTTCAAGGATCCATCGTTCTTCCCCTTCTAAGTCAGAGGTTTGCAAATGAGACTGAACCAACTCATATTGGAGCTTTCAGAAATTTCAGGAGGTAAGGATGGGTGGAATATGGTAGTAGTATTTAGATTGCAAGGGCCAAAGATGCTTTGAAATACAAAGGCGTCTTGCAGTACAAGAGAGAGCCCCCAGCAAGGAATACATACTTATGTCATGACTTTCCAATGTCCCACTAGATTATTACATGCGTTACATAGAAGTTAATTCAGTTTACAGATAAAAGTGATAGGATTTCAAGAAATAAAAGCAACATATAAATTAAGAAACAGCCCTTTCCCCAAGAGATGACTAACTTGGAAAAATGACACAACCAAAAGCAAGGAAGGCCTATCTGAGATGCCAAACCACAATCTGTAGGAGGTGAAGTCATGTTTATGTGATAAACACAAAGGAGGCACTACAAATTCTGCATCCTTCCTTATTTTCTCCACAAGTGGTACTTATCATCTAGCATACTTCATCCTTATCTTCTTTATGAACTTCCTCTTTTCACAAAACGTAAGTTCTGTAACTAAAGCAATTTTTGTTTTATTCATTGCTATGTCCCCAGCATACTATACTAGGGTTTGATGTAAACAGAAACTTAATAATAGGCATGAACTCAATCTGATTACTTCAAATCTTCTACTAGGGTCATGAACAAGTACTTCCATATTGAAATAAATATTTAAGAACAATTTCATTTTTGTCGTCCTGCCCTTAGGAGAATTATACTGAGATTTTTTGGTAATTGTGAGGCTAGACAGGTTATATTATCTCTGAGTATCATGCCAGGAAAGCAGTAACTCTTATATGAAGGAGATACTACATCTCAGAGCTGAGAACACTGAGCTATATGAGTTTATTTTAACTCAGCCTCTCTTCTGAACATCACAATCATAAATCCAACTTCCTCCTTGACAATCCCACTTAAAGGTTCTAAGGACATTTCCAACCTAACATGCCCAAATATGATTTTCCATCTAATTAATGAATTTCTATCAACTCCATGGGAATTTCAGGAAATTAAGGAATCTTTCAGTCTCCCATTTCCTGGTCCCTACTCCAATCTACCAAGAAATCTTCTAGAGTCTACCTTCAAGTACATCTGAAATCACCAATTTCTCCTCATCACCTAAACTATCACCTTGGCCCTTACTAAATCGTTTTTGAACTTTAATAGAATGTCCCACCTAGCTGTTTGCTTCACATCTTTCCCCTTCAGTCCATTCTCTAAACAGAACAAAAATGTTTATCTTAATTTTTTTTTTGTTTCCTGCTGAATTTAAAATACAATCTGAACTCCTGACCATGGCTCTCAGGTACTGCCCCATGAAATCATGTGATCATGACCTCTCCCCACAGAGGAAGACTGTGTTTATGAATCTTAGATGGGCCTTCATTGCATCTAAGGACAGCTCCCTGAACACCTCTCAGCTTCATCTTAAAGTATTCTGGTCTTCACTCACCACATGCCAGCCAAGCCATCTTCCTTCCCTCCCTAAAAGAGCAAATTTCCTTTGGATAATCCCTCTTATAAAAACAGCTCCTCTTCCAGCCACTCTTGTTCCCTCTACACACAATCAAATACCCCAGACCAGGCTCCCTCTCATCCAGCATGTCTTCACTTGATTGACACTTGCTCAGAATCCTCCTGACTCCTCCACCCACTGATTCCCTTTTAGTATCTTTCTATTGTTCTTTCACGGCATACATCACATTTGTGATCATATTTTTAATGTTTATCTCTCCCATCAAAATGAAAGCTCTATAAAAGTAAAAACCAATCTTATTTTGTTCACCACCATAGTCATCCGCTAGACCAGTGGCATGGCTAATAATGAACACTCAGTGACTGCCTGTCAAAAGTTACAATGAGTCACCCTTGAATGTGACTCTTCCCTCACAAGCAAAACCACTGGTCACCAGGACCCAACAATATTATATAAGAAACATTCCTCAAACCTTCCTCCTCTAACCTCCTCTAACCCAAGGGCCATTGTTCAAATGCACAAACTAGCCACCTCCTAATTGCTCTGCCTGCCTGATCTATCACTGCCCAGTCCTTCACCACTGAAACCATGCTATAAAGAATTAAATATAAACATGATTTTATTTCATTTCTGCTTAAAAAGCTCCCTGGCTAAACCTCCCTGCTGCTCACAGGATAAAGAGAAACTTTCATATAGATAACAGGGTCTGGCTTCAACCTACCTCCAGCTTCTACTTCCCACAATCTGCACTACACATGTAACAACTTACACTCCCAGCACAACTCAAACTCAGATGGCTCCTTGATCACACCAAGTCCCCATTCTCTGCTCCTGATGTTCCCTCTGACAAAGAAAATCCTGGTTATTCTTCAAGACCTGCCTTAATTGCCACTTCTTGGGAAGACTTCCTAAACCTTCAGAAGTCAGAATTCATTTCTAAAATAACACTCACTATTGCATCAGGAGAGTTAGTAAATAGCAGAGCAGTGCAGAAAAGAGACCACCAGTTAATAGAGATTTACTAAGTTGAGTAACTGTAAACAAATTATGTACAGCCATGAGCCACCAGTTACCTCATCTGTAATATAGACTTAAAAAAAAAAAAGCAAGACTATCCTGAGGCTTAAGAATTGAAAAGTACTTAGCAGAAAACTATAATAATACGGCTCAATACACATTAACTATGTGCTTTTAACCTAAACTGTGTGCATCATTTTGTAAGTGCTTGAAAGCAAAATCTATTTGCTTTGGTAATCTCTATACTCCCATGTTCTAGTAGCTAGCCCAAGAAAAGACTTAGGGACTCTTTCTCAAATGAAAATGAAGTTGAGATTGAGAAGCCAATGGGGTGCGGGGAGGAGGACTGCAGTCATTAGGTGAGACAACCTTTAGGGGGTATCAAAGATATTTTATACTGAGATGAGATCACACTGTATATTCTCGTATATCTATCACCTCTAAGCATGAAATGCCTGCGTTCTAGTTCTAGTTAGTGCTCTGGCTCATCATCATGTCAATTTTCATTAGTTTTTTCACTTGACTCCTTTCAGCTCTGGGTTATTACTTTCCGGGCCCTAGGCCTGTGCTAATTTGCATGAGTTATAAACTAATCATTAGATCCAAGAAGCAATTTCGCCCTTTAAATCCAAGGCATTTAATTGGCTTCCTACCTCAAGACATTCAATTACCACGCACCGGCTCGACCGGCTCACCAGTCCATACAGGCACAGAAAGTGTTACCGCTGTGTTTTGGAACTTACACTGATGATTCAGAAAACGTGATGCTACAGAGTGGAGGTCCTGGCGGGGTAGATCTCCCGGTGCCCATAACGGACTGCCTGCGTCTACATTCTTAAACATCCTCTCCATCACTCTGGGATGAAGAGGTGCGCGGCCCCAAGGGAGGGAGTGTGCGCGCGTGTGCCACGCCTGGGGATGTCCTCGCTGGCAGGTGGCCCGCTCGGAGCCCTGACAGCAGGGTCACCGCAGTGGGGGGGAGGCGCCGGGCCGCCCGCGAGCGCACTGCCCATCCCTCCACCAACAGTCGGGCGTGCACCCTCCAGGGAGCGCCGCGCACTGGAAGGCGGCCGACCTAGCAACGCGCAGAGGAGCGGGGGCCAGGTGGGGAGAATCCTTCACCCCGCTGCGCGCCCCTCGTGGGTGCGGGGGGCGGGGGCAGCACCTGGCACCAACCTCCACGAAGGCATCAGTCAGGTCACTAGCCCGGTCCATCACTGGCAAATGGCGCCCGGCCACGATTTTCACCTTCAGCTTCCCTGGCATGGTCTCGGCTCCCGTCTCTCCTCCGACTCCTGCAGAAACAAACAAGAGCGTCTGCGCCCGCCGCCCGGCGCCGAGCGGAGCGGGGGAGGGGCGCGCGCGGGAGTGGTGCGCGCCGGCGGGCACGCGCGAGCTAACTGACAGCCGAGCCCGCGCGCGCGGGAGCCGCGGCCGCGCTGAATTCGCCACTCACGCTCTGGGGGGAAGGTGTGCCGTCCCGCTGGGGCGCTGAGGCCTCATTCCGGAGAGGCAGCCGGAGGAACGACCCCGGTGGTTCCTTCGGCCTCTGTCCTACAGCGCTGACCAGAAAAGCCCAAGTCAGCTAACATCTCGTAGAGTTTCGGCGGCCCTCACAGGGCTGTCTCCGCCCCCCAAGATGGCGGCTCTCGGGCGTGGAGGAAGCATCGATCATTCGGCGCTCGGCCCTCTGGTCGGGGAGAGATTAAATTCGCCGGGAAAAGGTGAAGGGGGCGGGGCTGCCTTCTGGGAAGTCGCAGGACAGGACAGCGGGTCGAACCGTGCATCATCCACCAAGAGGTTTCTGAGGTTTCTGCCCCTCTCTTGCCGCCTCGCTCGCTAGTGGGCTGGCTCGGTGCTCCCGAGGCACAGCGGGGGTTTGTCCGCTGGCGGATGCCTTCCCGGCAGCCTGTGGGCTTTCCGAGGGCTGTGACAGAAGTAGCAGCCGAGGCTGTAGAGAGGAGTGAGTTCAAGCTGTTTTTTTAAGGGCCCACTAATGCTTCGTAAAATCCCATTAATTGGTTTCTACCCGGCAGGGGTGCTGTTCTTTGCTCGCCATGTAGGATTTCAAGGAGCGCTCAGTCGAGTATTCTGCTGTAACTTTTTAAATGCTGCCCTGTACACGTATGCTCTTTGAGTTGCTGACATTGTGCAGGTTTTTTTCCGGCGAGGAGCCCAGAAATTCAAAGCCACTGCATGAGTGAGTGTGCCCCAAACTCTTAGGACCGTTCTGTTTACTTATTAAGGCTCTGCAGGCCCGAAGAAAAGACCCACAGTGCTGTCAGGATTTCCGGAGCACCTTTAAGAAATCAGTCAAGTGCAAGAAATGGGCCAGATGAACTTCATCTTGAAACGTCTTGAAGAATCCACCCAAGCAAATTATATATACATATATGTATATATATATGTGTGTGTGTGTGTATGTGTGTGTGTGATATAAATGAGGTATAATCTATGGACTCAATCCATCAGAGAGAGTTTAGGGAAACTGAGGCACGTGCCCGAACGTTAGTAACTTACGCCACTGACTGCATTCCAAATGTCAAAAACCGTGTCTGACGTATCAAGTGCCCAGAATGAATTAACAATTCCGGTTGAAAGATTATACCCCTGGATTCATCAGGATTGGAAAATCCCCAGATGAAGCCATCAGGATGTTTTTAACTTGAAAAATACTCGGTTTAAATTAAGTGCTTCAGGCAATAAAGAACCAGAATAATTTTTCAAGCCAAAAAATTATTTCCACGGAGGAATTGTTCACGCCAATGAGAAGTTGAACTTTTCCAAAGAGAACAGGAAAAAGTTTCCTCACGGTAAAAAAGGCTAAAATGAAAAGTGTTGACTTTTTCTGGACTAGAAAACCCATTATCCAGGCAAGCTGACAAAAGGATGGAGGTTATAGTTCCCATGCAAATTTCCTTAGATCTGTTTCTTTTGTCCTTTCAAGGTCACCTACCCTAAGTGATCTGTTAATTCTGTTGTGTTTTGTTTCCACAGTAAAGGTAAAATAGCTTTCCTACTAAAATCAGTTTTATCACACTACACGTTCGTTTAAAACTTACTGAATTACATGAAGAAAAATTGCTGGGAAACTAAAGTTTAGCAATTTCTTAATGGAAATTGTATTACAAGACATTGCAATATAAAACTATTTGCAAATTGCATAATTAAAGTATAACAATGTCAGCCTCCTAATTAGTGGCCTGTGAGATACTTGTATATACCTGTTGCCTTAGGCTTCATCAACAGGAGATTATAATTAAGATGCTTCCTGAAGACTTTTTTTTAGTAACATCAAGCTTGACTTCAGTTTATTCTCTAATAATTGTGCTGGCTTGTTTTAATTAACGCTGGGAACAAGCCTTACTGTTCTGACAAATCTGTCCTGATCTGGTTGCTGATTACCTTCTTGAGCTTCAGAACTCCGGCACACCCTTTTTGCATTTTACATCCTATAGTAATAACAAGAGTTGGCCATTATTGACTATTTGTTCTGTACTAGCTGCTGAAGTCAGTGCTTCACAGCTTTTAAGCCTCCTTAAAGTCCTTGGAGATTGGAATTAGCTTCCTTCATTTTACAGATGAAGAATTCAGGGTTTTGAGAAGGCATAATTAACCTAAGTCACAAGACTTGTGATGTTGGAGGCAGGACATGTGATCCTGGAACCCAGGCTCTTTAAAGGAAAATTACCTCATTCAGAAACACTAGACTTTTCTCTTTCTGAGATGCCTTTTTCATAATCATCCTAGCAGATACTTATGAATTCATAATTCAGTTCAAATGTCATTTCTACTGTCTTCTCTGATTTCCTTCCAAATAAAAACTCTACTCCTATCTGTATGCGACCACTAAATCTAATTCATTGACTATTGCATTGTCCATATGTATAATTATCCAATACCTCTCTCTCCCCTGTTAAACTAAGCACCTTGAAAGGAAAGATTGTTTCCTAAATATTTCTCAGTTCTCTGTTCCTTGCTTTGTGTTCTTCAAGTGGTCAACAAATACTTGTGGATTTAAATTTGAGTCACAGTTGAGATATATATATATATATATATATATATATATATATATTATATCACTTTGCTCTGTCTTCTTTCTGGCTTTATCTCTTGCCCTACCTTTCTGCCAGGTTAACATTCTCAAAACTGGTCTTTGATTGCTGAAGCCAGTGAATAATTTTCATTTTACCTCTCTCTCTCAGGCATTTGATACTTGATCTCCCTCTCCCTTGAAACACCATTCCTCTGGGTATTCAGTCACCATGTTTTGCTTACCTGTTCTGTTATATGCATCTGTCTTCTCAGCTTTCCTGCTGTCTTCAACAATCAGGTGTTTTCTCAGTATGGTTGTTTTTTTTTTTTTTATGTGTTTATTTATGCATAGAAGAACTGGGATGTAAGGCCCAGGATGCAGGGAAGTGAGAGGATTCACTAGAGAAAGAGAAGGGAGCAGAACAGGTTGGTTAACTGAAATACACTGTTGAGGGGAGCAACAGTAGAGACAGGACCATCGGCTATGTGGATTAGTTCCATGGCTGGGGATCAAGCTCAGGCTGTGGTGATATCACTGAGTCTTAACCCCTAGTCCTCAGGGAGCCCCCTCAGTGTTTTGTTCTTGACCCTCTTCTCTAGCTGTTCTCTCTCCCTAGGTGATTACATTCATACCCATACTTTATATTTCTGTCTGCTTGGCTAAAGATTCTCACATTTTTATTTGTAGCCCATACTTTTCTTCTGGGATGTGAACCAATGTCTGCAACCATCTAGTTCCTATTGCCATTTGGAATGTCACAATGACCACAAAGTCAGCCAGAAGTAAGCTGGAGCTGTATAATTGGCAAAGGAAAAAATGGTGTGCCTGGGAGGAAGTACAGTGTTAAGATTTTTAAGGATTAGGAATCTGTCTTGGAGCTGATGAACTGAAGTGAACTGGAAGCTACTGTAGTTAATAGAGACAAATGAAACAATTCATTTAAACAATTTAAATCATGATCAGGAATCATGATGACAAAATAAAAAGCCTAGTCCTGGTCTTTGTTCTCCTTCTGACACTCCAATTAACAACTTGAGCTCAATTCAGTTACTTCTGTTTGAGTTTACTACAAAACAGCTGATTTGCTACTAATTTGCTGCTTTATAGGTAAGTAGTCTCATCTCCCAGTTGGTTCCAGTGTATCTTGTAAAGGCATAACTAACACACGTCGAGGAAAAGACAATCTCCAGATTGGAAGATGGTTGAAGTGTATGCTTCATGTACCCATCCTTGCATTCAGTGAGCCTTGTCACCCAGACGTTGGGCAGGTCCTAAGCTTGATTTCTTACTGTGCCAGTATCTGGACAAGCTCCAAATGGAAACCTGAAGGTTTCCCATTTACATGTAATTCAGGCCTTTGTGGAAAACTCTTAAGACACAATTCACAATGATTTTTGACTCTTCCTAGCCTTTGACACTGACTTTATTGCCAAGCCCTATTATTTATAGAGCTCTCAAAAATTCATCCACTTTCCTCCATTATTTACCACCTGGAGGACTGACATTCCTACTTCCACTTTTACTTTCCTCTAACCCAACTCAGCATAAAGCAGCCCAACCCTTATTTTTAAATAGCAAGTATATTGCCATCTCTCTCCTAGGGGAATTTTTGGGCAAAGATCCTTTGTTCTTGTGAGACCCTACTCTTTATAAGAAGGTAAGAATATTCAGAACTTCAAGAGAAACAGCCAGGGTTTTGAATTTCATTTGTTTTGGCATTGTTGGGTTTGTTTACAGTCAAACAATGGTTTCTCCACTATGTATTGACCTATCACCTATACTAGATTGTTCCATTTCAGCTGAAATTATCATTTAAATGAATTGTTTTCATTTGTCTCTACAAACTTAAATAGCTTCCAGTTTACTTCAGTTCACCAGATCCAAGACAGATTCCTGATCCTTAAAAATCTTAACACTGTACTTCCTCCTAGGCACACCATTTTTCCTTTGCTAATTAAGTAGCACTAATAGATTTTATGACCATTATCTTCACAGAGACACCAATTAAAACTTTAATCAGATTAATTACATTGAGTCATAATTTCCCAGATCCTTTGTTAACTTCCTATTTCTTCCTTTTGTTAATGGCTAGCTTGGAAAGCAAAACTAGATAGATACATAGATAGTTTTACTAAAATTGTCACGAGCAGGATTCAGCTCCCAAGCTGAACTCGCTGTGGACTAGCATTGTTCAGAGGAGGAGTGCTGACAAGTGGATAACTAATTACTGCAATTGATGGAGAGAACACAGATGAACTCTGTAGCTTGTACAGCCCTGTGTGTTATGCTGCCTTCTCGGGCTGTTGCATACAGCTGAAGAAATTTCTAAATGTGCTCTAGGTTATGTTGCTTCCCACAGGAGGGAGTAGTGTCACATACTACACCTGCCACGCAGGCAGCTGTTGCAGTTCAGATGAGAGGCAGTTGACATTTTAGCCATCCTTAGTGAAACCATACTAGAACTGTTGCATCAGACAATACCACTGATAGAAATGCGAGTTGTGGAGCAGGCTACATAATGAAGGATGCCGCTGGAGAGCAAGATCCTGGCTTTTTTATTGGTAAACTAGTCATACAGAATTAATCATATGAGAAAGTAGAAAAGGAGATGGGGAAGTACAAGAAGCTGGGGTAGGGTGCTGATAGCTTGATATGTGGATCATGCCCTGATTCCCCCATCAGGATTCCAACCTTATCAATAAGGCATTCCACTGATCAGTTTTTGGGATCCTTTGTGATACATCAGTCAACAGTTCTCCCTGCCCCCGGTGTTCCAGGTCATACCTAGTGATGTATAAATTAGGAATAAATTTATGTATTCTTCATTGCCCCCCCCCCGACCCCATGTTCCCAGTCATACCTCTTGATGCAGACCCTTCCCAGAGTTATCTAGCTTTATGCTTTTTTTTTTTTTTAAAGATTTATTTATTTGTTCATACAGAACTGGGGTACAGGCCAGAGGTGCAGGGGCGGTGAGAGGCTTCACCAGAGACAGAGTAGGGAGCAGAACAGGCAGATCAATGAAATACACTGCTGAAGGGAGCAGCGGGCGGGTCAGGAGAGGTCTGTTGGGCCATGTGGTTCACCCCCAGGGCAGGTGGGGTCGAACTCATGCTGAAGTGGCTTAAGCTTCTTAGTGCAGTACTTTAACCAGCTGCGCCACCAGGGAGGGCCAGCTTTATGCTTTTAATTGATTTGAAAGTCACTTTGTAGGGTTGGGCTAGTATGACCCAGCAGTTCTGACCTTGATTAGGAATCCAGAACTACAGGTAAAAAAAATGGAGGCTGGATATAGGCCACTTAGGATTAGCAGACCCACATAAAACAAGAGAAGTCATTGCATACCTTCTTATAGTACAGATGTTGGGACTTGAATAAGTAATCCAAGTATAAATGTCCCCATATTATCCTGGAGCACTAACTGCTACTACCCTGTCATTTGGGTTCATATAGCTAACCCAGTTCTTGCCTCTCAATAAACAAAGAAACTACCCTTACTACTTCCATCCCCAGCTAAGGAAGTTTTGTTCAACATCCCCTGACTCTTCATGTCTACATACTAACTTTATCATGAGCAAGATTCAGATCTATTGCTGAATAAGATTCTGTCTACTTCTATCAAGATAAAAACCAAAATTGCTAATCTAGACAATACATCTCTCCATGATTGGACCCCTACACACTTGAATAACTATTTCTCATGAAGTTGAGAAATTCAGGTCCCCCACTTATCAACTACATTGTTCCCATTAAAGGCAAAAAAATCACCATGTTCCATTTCTTAATAACTAATGTTAGGTTACTGAGTAGCTATTTAAAAAAAAAATTGTATGTATTCCTTCCATCATAATACTTAGAAATTACATCACAAAGGATCACTACCTAATACATAAAGATCTTAGAAAAGAACTGCAGTCCTTTCAAAAAGTGGACAAGAAACAAACGGTTTATAGAAAAAGAAAGTCAAATGGCCTTTTACCATATGAAAAGATGCTCATGAGAAAGATGCAATCAATCCCATCATGAGTTGTCATTTCTTGTCAGCTAGGAGGAAATCCAAAAGTTTGACAACTTCATGTTGGTAATACTGTGAGAAAACAGATACTATCCATCTTATATTCTGGATAGAAATGCAAATTTATATAACCTATATGGAGGAAATGTTTGCAGTTGCGTATGGATTTGTCTGACCCAATAACTTCACTTCCAGGAATGTATCCCAAGAAAACACTGACAAAAATAAAATAACACCCATCTGCAACCCTAGTGAAATCTTAGTTCATCAATGACTACCCATGTCTGCTGATATCACAAAATAAGAGACCACTGGACTTCTCTCTCCTGTTACAATGAAATGGGCTGTGCCTAGCAACTGTAAAGTGTTCCTGCCAAAAAAGTAGTAAGCCTGAATGTGATGTACCAGTTTTACAGAAAATACAAGAGACATAGGAAAAATGTACATAATGTCATGAGAATACAATCAAGAAAATCCAAAATAAGGTGAATTTAATAGAACATATTACCCAGTTTCTGCCACAAATATGTGGCAAGAACAAAAAAAAAGAGGTGACAAAATATATAACTTAAAAACTTTAAGATACAATTGAACCTTCATTTTAAGAAACCAACTGTAAGGACACTTCTGCTAGTACACAGAAGTATCCAATGATTATTAACTTGTTTATTTATTTTGCAAATATTTTTATGGATGGAAATTGTTAAAGAAAGCAAAGATTTCATGGCGAATGAGATAGACGAGACCCTCAGGGAATAATACATTTTAGTAAA